AGTGTCCTATCTATAAACCAGAATTGCTACATATCAGTGGCCTGAATATTAAGCCTGTATAGTTACGTGTTAAGATAAAATTATGCTACCAACAGACACAGTTTTTATTTTCAAGAAACAGCTATTAAACACCGACGGCTGTGCAAATTAGAAGTGACAGTCACAACAACTGTTCCACATTTGAGTCTCATAAAGTAAGCACACAAAAAGCTGTGTTGCTCTGGCCAGCAACGTTACCTGAAACGCACACACTGACTGGTGAAAACTGATCAGTCAGAGACGCGCTCTGTATGAGCATGGAAGTAGAGCAATGACTGGGCCTGCTCCCTAAGACGGTGGTAGGTTTCCGCCTGCGTAAAACCCAGGATTTTGGTTCCAATACACGCTACTGAGCAACCAACGGCACGTGGTCACCAAAGCAGAGTCCATTTGAAGAGCAAGTCTCCAAGAAGTGCAGTGGGGGTTCTGGAAAGCTTGCATCCCCAGGCATCATGTTTTCTCATTTCCGTAAGTTTTTCATATAGATCCATGTATCAAACTCCCAACAGCAAAAACTCACTTCCACATTTTTTAGTATTACTTAAAGACTGTCCAAGTTCCACTCTAAAATTGATTCCTCGTCTACTAAAAATGTTCATGTGCTAAGTAAACTCTTTGGGGGAAAGAAGCCTATTTCCAAGTTTAAAGGAAAGTACAAAATGGCTTTTTAAAATCTATTTATTATCTGTTTCAATATTTAGAAACGTCCCTGTTACCACAGGATGTGCAGCCCATACACATTGATGACACTGTAAATACGCCCAAGATGAAATGATATGCGGTTACCTTCCGTTTAGAGGCAAAGGTGAGAGATGGATAGTTTAAGTGAATTTCTCCAAGAAAATGAAGAAGTTTGTGGCAAATGAAGGAATCAAAATCTAGTCTCCCAAACGCAGTGCTTTACATAGCAGATCATCCTTCCTTTCTGATGTAACTAGAATACGTCTGTCTGGAGCTTTGGTGCATTAATGGCAATTTCAGAATTACAACAAATTGTGAACTTACAGCAAACTCTCTTTCTCTTCTATTTTGATAAATGCACAAATAAATTCACAGATAAATTCAAAAGGAGTTCAGAGTTAAAAGAAAACTTGAAAGACTGTGATCTCTAATAAGGTAAGACTCTGTGCAATTATCCAGTAATGCGATCAAGCATGGAAGACAGACTCGAGTTGCAGACATTCAGGTCACAAGAACAAACCTAGGAAGAAAAGATCTTGCAGAGTCCTTGTTTTAACATTTTGGGTTCAAGCATTGCTCACAATTACTTCTGGGGATCTCCTTCCCTCTTGGATAAAGTGTTTGTATCTTTAATGACAATAAAATTAATGTATAACGTCTTGGTTTAGCCTCTCATGGTCATAACTTTAAGTGGATAACGCCTCTTTGAGACGCTGTAAAAGCTCTGATAGAGCCTCTTAGTCAAGTAACCTCTTAAGTAACAAGTATGATGATTCAAAGTAATTTAAATCACACATGTTCTTGTCTGCATTTATGCGAGCGTTCACTATAAATCTTCCCTCAGTTATTATTATGTACAATGCAAGTATTATAACTTAGGAGAATTGTATTTGCAATCCTGCTTCTAAATTCATTTACTCTAAAGAAATTACTTCATCCATCTGTAAACCCAGCAAATTAAATTCCCATAAGGCAGTTAGCTCTCTGGAAATGGTTAGGTTGATTTGCTTCAGGTAAAAATCTTGACAAGACCTAGAACAATGCTGTAATAACACCACTTGCTCTGGGCTCTGTCTTACTACTATTCTTCTGACATGATCACTATGCAATATCTAATGTTCATTAGCAATAATATTTATCCTGGAGTCAGGCATACGATGTTATAATAAGAAATCAATTTCATACAGAAATAACAATTAGATTTGCAAAAAAACAATGCATAGACAATGTTCAATAAATCAAGAGTGTTTATTGCACAGAAGTACCTCTCACGACTATTCCGATATTAATCTGAACAAGATTCACACACCAAAACTAATTTACCATGGTGCCAGAGAATATGGGGCTCATGTCCACACTGGAGATCTCTTAATACATTTCCTCATTTGTTCTAAAATATGTGGTTGTGAAATTCAGCAGTGAATTCTGATACTCTATTGCACTGAGTACTGTCCATATATTAACGGGTATGGTTCAGAGTACAGCGTGCAAGGTAACTGCTTGATTGTAGAGAATGGCTTTTATCGGTAGTATTTATACGTTCAGTAAGTTTTTACCTACCTATCACTCAGAATTCATATCATAAAACCTTTTTTCATAGTTCAGCTCACATCTGCACTTTACTTCCAAATACAGGATGATAATATGGTTATCATGTTCCCGAAAAGTTGAATATATCAGGGCATAAAGAACCTAGGTTACCTAGGCTGTACCTTCAAGCGCTCTTCCCTTTTGTGAATTAGCCTGATACATGTCAAAACGCTGTCTGAACCCATTCAGAACGTTACAAATGAAACGCTTCTCCTGCGATATCGGTGCCTCTTGCCAATGTTCAGATGATATGTTTGTCCATTATTTCTGCACAGTTGGCTTCATTAACATATTCATTATTCAGACATTAATGCTTTATTAACGTTTCTCAATCTTCAAATACTTTGTGAACGTTTCACAACACAGATTCTTTGCCAACTATTTGCTTTGATGAGGCCTTGAGGTACCAGCTTTTGTCATTACATGGGGCTGGTGCCTGAATCACCCTCCACGGTTTGTACTGCCTGACTAAATATCAAACATACATGATGCGAACCCATCTCTGGCCTGCACACCAGATACCCATATGAAGGCAGGAATGCCCTGCTTGCACGTGAATAGAGCCATTCCTTAAAGTTCCCCGGAAACAAAAAACTATTTGTTCAAAAGCTTGTCAAAAAGTGAACAGAAGGGGTGTGAGGATGAATGAATCAAAGAGACATTCAGAATAAACGCAAGGTTCATGGAAACGCTCTGTATTTTTGACCTATTTTACCCATCACAGACTGGTACATGATGCAGGAGAGCAGCTATTCCTTCAGGAAAGGAAAAACATTACTTCTGAGTCATGAATTAGGAATGGAAAAAAATAAACTGATAAGCAAACAAAATTGCATCTTGGCAGTAAGGATTTTCCAGGAGGAAATGAAAATTGCTAAAAAAAAAAAAAAACCCAAACAAGCGGACCTTGATCTTACGAGAGAAATTAAAACAAACAGTAAAACTTTCCTCAGTACAAGAAGAGAACAGGAAGAGAAGGAAGCTGTTATGCAATGTGGAGTACAGGACTTAAAATAACCCTGGAGTAACAGGTACACAGGCTCTTTAAGGTCCTGGGAGAGAGGTGGCTTCACTCTGTCCGAAAACCAGGCTCAGGTTCTGGGAATGAGCCCAGAGCCCTGCGTACCAGCAAGTAGATGTGAACTGAACCCCATGTCCAGAAAGAAAAAGAAAAAAAAGAAGTGTTAAAGAGCAGCTTGCTAGGTGGAGAGAGCTGTTTTCTAGAGCCAAAGGGAAACAAAAGCATCGCGGTGGTTGTTATCATTAACTGGGTAGAACTACCTTGTGCTTCTGTTGGACAGAACTAAGACCTAAGCACACCAAGGTACCCGTTCTCCTGGCTGGCAGGAGACAACAAATGCCTATGTCAGATATGGCCTCAAAACAAAACAAGAAATTCTCTGGGTTTTCAAAAATCCTGATGCAAACAGAACATGGAGGGAAAAATAAGTAAGCACTCACAAGCAGCCCATGGAACTGCAGATTTCAGGATCAGATAACTGGCCTTTTGTTGCTGTTGTTTTAGTGGACAAAAGGAGGCCCCCCCCCCCCACCCCCCACCCCCCAAACAAACAAACCCTAGTTTGACTGAAACTAAAATACTCCTTCTGACTTCCTCACTGGAAAATGCATCAGCAAAAACCAAACAAGCTAAAACCTAACTGTGGTACAACCGAACTGGTTTCCAAGGTAAGCCAGGATGCAGAAAACTAGGTAACAAAATCATTCTGGCTGTCTCTTGATCAACAGAGAAGTGGAAGACTCAAAGTAGACACTGAAGCCAAGCCTACTTCAAAACACCCACTGCACGGCGGCTAGGGTGAATAGGAAGTATGGATTTAAACTCTGAACCAAGAAGAGTGAACTGACTCTCGTATTTGCATTCCAAATGAGTGGTGAATAAAATATAGATGCTTTTATTACAAGTTTCTGAAAGCATAATATTTCATTATGAGTTCAACAAAAAGTTTAATTTGACCTGAAATTAAATTTTCCAGGCTATCATTTTAACAAGAAAAAATGATTATTTGGGAAGGTTAATCTGAAAGACTCTTCTCCCTTCAATCCAAGCTTAAAATGAAAACTCAATTACAGTGGCAAATACTCTTTAATATACATTTTTGTTTAGCTACATGGCTTTATTTTTGGTTCATCAGCTGCAAGAACGCTTTATACACTAACATACCCACACTTTTTGAAAAGTGTGTTATAACCTAGTACAGATTTCAATATTTTATTTCAGCATTTTATATCTGTACAAGAAATCCTTGATTCTGTTCAAAAACCTACAGTGTAAGGCTGACTTCATTAAGCTTTTTTTTTTATTATTATTAATTTGCAGAATATGTGATTAAGTGGGATGTACCTCACTCCTGCTTCCAGAAACTGAAAAGGGTTTTCCACCACCTTGGGCTCACTGCTTCCAGAAAAGAGTGGTATGGTAGGAATACGTAAACCGCGGTACCACCCTCCTTTCCCATACATAACATAAACAACCCTGGCTTGCTTCCAAAACCTCTAAAAACTTTGTTCTCCGCAATTCTGCTCTTAGACGCTCTCCCTCTACCCCAAGAAGGACTGATAACGGACACCTGCCACAAGTAGAGAGAAGAAACTACGCAGTTGACATGGAAATCCCACGCCTAGTAAGTATGTGACTAATAAAAAAAGAGGTAAGAAGTCACTGATACCTGATACACCTTCATGATACTGACAGTTCCTTCTCCGTTCTGACCCGGGGATCCTTGGTGCTGCAGTAGATTTCTCACTGTCTCCTCCATTCTAGAGAAGGAAAATGTTATAAAAGAAGTCAACTGTATGGAAATTTTTTTTAAGACTTGCATTCTGTGTTTTTGTTCTTCACAAGAGCCTAATGCACCATTTTACTGGCTATCATGAAATTAATATTTAAAGGAAATCCTGGCCTTGTAATGTTCTCATACTTCATGTTATGAATAACACATTAAGGGCACTCTTTTATCTTTTGAATATGCACAGTAATTAGGTGTAATTGTTAAAATCCTACTGTAGCTCGGTTACAAAAATTAAAAAGAAGTGCCAGCAAAAACCAGCACCTTGTCAACACTGTAACCAAACAGCACGAGAAAATCACTGTCATTTAGGAACAAAATCAGTCAGATTTCCCAAAAAGCTGCTGTATTTATAGTCAATTGTCAATTCTGTGCAATTTAGACAGACTGTCACATACATTACGCGTATTTACTCCCTCTGTTACAGGTGCAGACGTGTGTGCCAGGACATTTGCTTACGGAGGCACAGCTGCTGAATGCATTCACCCTCTCTTTGCCCTTTCAAAGGGATGCAAAAAGCAAGCGTAGACCAGAGCCTGGTGCCAGCAGCTCAGGAAAACATCACCAACTTCAGCGAAAGAAGGCAGGTTGGTACTCTCATTTCAAAAAGTGCTAATGGATACCATCAAAAGCGTCTTTGATCTACGGGCATTCATCAGCCACGTTAAAACAGGCAATAACGCCAACCCTCCTGAGCGGAGGTGATGTTGAACAAGGGGCTGCGCCCTGGCACACCGCAGGGGGACGACGGGGGCCGCCACGCACAACACAGGTCCCATTCAACTCCACAAGAAGGTCAATCGCATGGGCTTCGGGGATGCCACTGAGACTGACGCCAAATAAACGGTCCCAGACTATGGCTGGCTTTAGCTCTGCGAGCACAGGCAGGAGGAGGAACGGGAGCAGAAAGCAGAGAAGCAACGTGGGATACAGCAGCAGCAAAGCTGGGCTTCACGCAAAAATTGCTGAGGGCCAACTCCAGCAAAGGTCCTCCCACTTCTCCCCACGCCGCCAACCTTCACCCCTTTTTCCTCACTCATTTGCAGCTGCTTCCCGCTGAGGCAACGCTTTCGGGAGTTTGACTTGAGGAACGGAGTCCAACTGATTCCAGTTTTAACATCTGCCCCCACCACTGAAATTTCTCTCCCGCACTGTAGTTTTTTATATTCTTTTCCTTTCGGACTGTCTCGATTCCTTGATACAGAACAGCCCGGCTGGAGTAGGGGTGGGAGAAAGGAAAAAATGATATGGCACAGGTGTGCGGGTTACACGAAGGCAGGGGAGAAAGAGGAAGGCCTTAGGGCAGGAGCGCCCGATACGCTGCGTGTTAAACCGGCAGCGTGGGAAGAGAGCCCGAGTTCCTGGGCAGAGCACGCCGGGCGCTGCCTGCTGCTGTTCGCTCTGCTGTGCTTAGGTACGCAGCACTTCTGCGTGCTATTCTTTGCAAACGCAATTGGGCGGAAGAATTATTCACATCATACCAACATTTTTTATTTCGGAGGGAACAAGCCAGCAAGACAGCAAATATTAGCTAACTGCTCGGGCCAGCGGCCAGCCATACTATCTTTTATATCAGTTACAAATGCCTCGCTGTCTTTCTCTTCTTTCAGTCTTATCAGAAGGCACGGTAGTGGCTCATTTAGAAATAATACGATGTTTTACTAGGTTTTCTCCTTTCAAGTCAGCCAGCTACGCTACTTTTCGAGAAGCTGACATTGTGAGGCATTCATTTTATTCAGATGCCCACTGACATTTTACTTATTCACATATATATTTTTTTGTCATTGATGTGCAGACTTCTACATTGCCAGAATGCTCACAGAATAGTTGGACCATCTGTTGACCAAATGTGAATAAAAATAAGCCGGCACTAATCTCTAGTGCAGGCAGTAGTGCACAGTTTTTCAGTTGCAGACTGAAACCATTTCCGCTCAAGGACTGACCTTAATCAGATCCCTTTACACAAAAGAACAAACCATTTTGGTTCATAATATAAATTCCTGTATAGTCCTCACTGAAAGATTTCCTTTCATAACATGTTCATCATTTAATTTGTTAAGTTAATAATGTAGCAGGGTTGTTATTTTAAATCACTGTGTTTTATATATGCACACGCAATTCTAATTCTAGTCCTACATAAAGTTCTTCCACATGAATAAATAAGTGGAAATTAGAGAAAGGATAGATTCAACTTTCGCTGCAATCAATGAGAGTTTTCCAATTTAGGTCTAATACTTTAATGAAAATATAGTCTAGTTGCATATTAGAATCATCAATCAAACCACCTGTGAATAATTATGAAGAATTCTTAAACTCAATAGGTCATTTCATCTTGAGTCAGTGCAGATAACTAGATTGTCTATTCTCGACAGAATTCCTGTTAAACAGGCCTATCTGATCTAACAACTTTATAGGGACTGACTAGGATACTGTTTCACGCGGCAATTGGAAACACCTTCTGGCAACACTCAGATTTCCATTGACAAGGATATTTGCAGCATGAGAAAGAGATAAGTTAAACACTGTTGAGGCTTTTGTTGTTTCTCTTGCAGCTATTATAAAAATTGGTAAATAAGAGTCCGACAGTCAAAGCTGAACCACTAGATATAACACACACTGGCTATGCTGGCATGTCGCTATCACTGAAAGAATCTTACAAACTTTAGGTGCCCATGGGATAGCCAGATAAGAAAAGAGAAAACTAGTTCCTGTCAAACAAGTAGGGGAAACATCCTCAGACTCAAATTAATTGCAAAGCTTTGATGGCCAGTGCTGTTGCAGTTTACAAGCTGTTTCTTTTTTACTAGCATCCCAATCTTCCGTTTTTTAGGAAGGATTACTTAACCAAACATGCCATATGATAATAATTGAGACTCGTTCCACATAAATTAGACTCTTTGAAGCCTGAATTAATGACAGATTAATTAAAAGGCAATTGTTATATTATGATCTATAACAGTCTACACAGTGACCATATATGCTGGTAAGATTTAGTATAAAATCTTTTTAATAAAAACAGAAGAACAACTGAACCTCTACAAATTTAACTTGAACTATCATGTTTTGCTTCCTCCAGAGGACATGTAGATTTTGGAAGTGAAGCAGAAAAATTAAAAGCTCTATGAAAGACTATTTCTACACATCAGCTATATATTTCTCACTTCTAATAACCATTAAAGGTTATCTTCTCTTGGTTGTGATTCCAATACCCAGATGGACCCAGTCCAACAGCAAACACATGGTGATCACGTCTATAATAGCTATGCCCCACACGTGTAGTCTGCCTGCTTTCTGGCCTATGCTAAAAAGCCCATCTTGCCAAGGATTCAGTGCATCTTATATAACTATCAAGATGTTACATTTTGCAAAGACAGTTCCTAGTATCTCACCATTCCCAAGCCTATGCTTTTCATTTACTATTTAGGAACATTAATTTCCCACTTTGTCTAGTGTTCTGTTTACTGTCTATTCATCTCAGTTAGTGTCCCTAAAATTCTGTTATATCTATTATTTGGATAGAAAACAGAAGTTTTCTTAAAACTGTAGTGTTGCTTTCAATTAAAAAAGAAAAAAAAGTGATCCCCTTCAGGGAAAAAAAATACAACCCATGCCTGGTAGAAGCTTCTTAAGTTTCTTGACAAAATGTCAATTTAGAGTAGGGAGACAGTTCTCCACCAGCCCTAACCTAAGGATAAATTTCTCAAAGCATTAAACAGAAGAAGAAACGAGGCACTCTGAGACCAGAATGCATTCACGGAGCGTAAGAGCTTAAGGAATGCAAAATATTAATGCTACTGTGGAAAGCACTGCTGAGATTTCATATGGAACATTATCTGAAACTATGACCACCAATGCTCCTTCACAGAGGGCAGATCTCAGATGCTCAGGCCTCCAAGGTGGCACAACAACTTCCACGGGGTATTTTGCTGCAACTCAGAAAACTGGTCCAGAAGCCAGGACCAGCCCACAAGGACACATAGAGCTGTAGGAGACTTGTTTTTACAGCTTCTTGACTTTACATTTCAGAGAGGAGGGAAGAGCTCTGCTGCATCCATCCCTGGCCCGGCTGTCCTGTTGCAGCAGCACCTGGTCGGAGCACAATTTCGTCAAGGCCAAGGAACATTATATAGGCCCTTTTGGGGTTTACTCCTCACTGGTAAGCAGTCACATCCCCTGGATCCCCCGCTCCATTTCTCAGGACCATCTCCTTTATAAATGAGCACCTCCTTTGTGCCGTCCCCCAGCATTACTGGGACATGGTCAGAAAACCTGCCCACTTTGTGTGACTTCAAATAGACCAAACTCTTGGGGCAATTCTCTTGGGGCCCTCCCACAAGAACAGACTTTAAGACCATATAAGAATTCATGTGGCTTCAAATGCACTAATTCAAGGATGCCCAACTGTTTTCTCAGTCCTCCAGCTCTGTAAGCCTCTCCCATATATTTCCACATTCCCCAAAACGGCCTTCCAGCTCCCTTTTCGTCATGTTTATTGGTGACGTCTCCTTGAGAGAGAGGTGTCTCTCTCACCGCCTGCCCCAGTAATTTCACATATTGAGGGCTTTTTCACTATCAATCAACCTCTCCACTGTGTATGATATGTCTTTATGTCCTGTCTCACTGCAGAACCACCCCCTTTTTTTCTCCAGTTCTCACATCCTTTATAGAGGTTTGATCTCCCCAGACCTAAAACTTAATCCCTTATAGATAGAGCAGGCTTCCCGAGGAAAGAAAACAAAACAAAACAAAAAAAACCCTTCCCATAAATCCCGATCTTTGATTCCCCTTCTAGCACAAGGACTACACATTTTTGATGGCCGTCATCCTATTCAGCTGCTTCCCACAGAGCCCTTAATCCCACTCTCCCTCCGAGGGACAGGTAGCATGTGGCTGTTCCAACTCTAGAAGGTGCGTGACAGTTTCAACTCCTTCTCCCTCGACCTATTTCCTGCAGTATCTCCCCAGGCTGGC